CTACCGCTTGAGCCACATCCCCAGCCCCACGTTTGGATTTTTTAACCACATGCATTGTCAATGTATTCAGGTTAAAAATAAGTAATATATGTAAAACGGCGGGCATAGTGGAGATGATAAATGGTTACTATTTTTTTTAATTTTATGTTTTTTGATACTAAGGATTGAACCCAGGGGTGCTTTATCACTGAGCTCCAGCCCTTTTTATTTTTTATTTTGAAATAGGGTCTCATTGAGTTGCTTAGGGCCTCGCTAAATTGCTGAGGCTGGCTTTGAACTAGCCATCCTCCTGAGCAGATGGGATTACAGACAGGTGCCACCGCTCTGGGCTGGTCACTACTACCTTTAAATTTTTATTTTATTTTATTAATGTTGTGGCTAATTGTGGGACTTGTTTTTATTTTTTAATATTTATTTTTTAGTTTAGTTGGACGCAATGCCTTTATTTATTTTTATTAGGTGTTGAGGATCAAACCCAGGGCTTCGCAAGTGCTAGGTGACTGCTCTACCGCAGAGCCACATCCCCAGCCCTACCTTTACATTTTTTTTTTGCCATTTACTCATGAGTCCAGTTTTGTTAAATCTATTCAGTGCTTTAAAGCTGCTTTTATTTTATTTTCTCCTCGGCACTGGGGATTAAACCTACAATCTCTCTGCCACTGAGCTACATTCCTTACCCTTTTTATTTTGAATCAGGGGCTCACTAAATTGCCTAGGCTGGCTTCTAATTTGCAATCCTCCTGCATCAGCCTCCCAAGTAGCTGGGTTTGTAGGCCATGTACCACTGCAGGCAGTGTAACTGTTTATTTGTAAGTGACTTGAACACGCTTGCCTGTAATACCAGATGGCAAATTTAAAGCCAGCCTCTACAACCCCCTCTACACCATCCCCCCAAGGCCCTAAGTAACCAGAAAGAACTTGTCTCTAAATTTAAATATATACCTATGTATATAAAAGGGTTAAGGATGCAGCTCAGTGATTAAGCTCCCCTGAATTCAATCCCAGGTATCAAAACTAAATAAATCAATGTGATTTGGAACCAGCATGGTGGGACATACCTGTAACCCAATAACTTGAGAGGCTGAAGCAGGAGGATTGAAAACTCAAGGCCAGCCTTAATGTGGCTCAGCGGTAAAGAACCCTGGGTTAAATCTCTAATAATAAAAAAGGTTAAAAATTAAAAAAAAATAAAAAAATAAAAGTGGCTTGGAGGTCAGTTAATCCTGGGCTCAGCAGAAGCAGACATTAGGTCTAAGAATATCTTGGGTGAAAATATAAAATGCTTTTAGGGTGGGAATACAGCTCAGTGGCAGAGCAAGTTCCTCTGTTTGATCCCCAGCAAAAGAACAGCTTTTATTTCACTCATTTTGCAGTATTAGGAATAAAACTCCAAAACAGAGGGATACCCCTAGCACTTCTTTTTTATTTTTTTGAATCAGTGTCTTGATAAATACCAAGCCTGACCTTGAACTTGTTATCCTACTGCCTCAACTGGGTTCATTTTTTTGTTTTGTTTTGTTTTTGTGGCACTAGGGATTGGACCCAGGGGTGTTCTACCACTGAGCTATGCTCCCAGACCTTTTTATGATTATGAGACAGGGTCTTGCTAAATTGCTAAGGCCGGCCTGGAACTTGCCATCCTTCTACCTCAGCAACCCCCTCTACACCCCCGCCCCCCCAGTCACTGGGATTACGGGTGTGCACCACCATGCCTCGCTTCCCTGGGTTTTTATTTTTCAAGATACTCTGGTTAGAAATATGACAAATTACTAAAAGCAAACAACCACTTCAAACAGGAAGCACATCACAAACCCGACTGCGGGCCACATTTACTGCAGGCCTTTATTGGTGCCTCTCAAAAGGTACTTGGGTTCTGGTCCTCCTTTTTCCCAAAGGGCTTGGGAAGAAACGGGTTAATGACCCACTCCCAGCCGGGTGGTTTATCAGGGACTCCTGGTGCTACACAGTCCCAACCCAGAGGCATATTTATAGTTCTGGGTTCTGAGGGGAAGCCCCTTTGCCCAGTTCTCAGAGTACAATGCAGACCAAATGCCCCCTGGGAGGCCAAGGGAGATATTCTAGGTTAGGTAGCTTTCAGTGCTGCCTGTCACAGCCTGTCAGCTCACACTTATCTAGAAGGAGGCAAGGGAAAGGTTTGCCTTTGACATTTGTAACTGATGAGAACTGAAGGTCAAAAATAGTCTTTTCCATTAAGAAATGGTGACCCAAGAGCTCTCACCACAGCTGCCACTCTCCTGGTTTAGTGGCCTGAAAGAGTTGCATAAGGAAACTTCCCTAGTCAGGTAAGGTGGTGGTCGCCTGGAA